GCGATCGAAGCAAGAAAAACCGAGAAAAGTCAGCAACTAAAAATCGATCTCAGAGGCGAATAAAGCCCTCTCCCCAGACAGGGGATCCCCAACGCAAGTCGCTCCCTGATTCGGGTATCGTTTATGTGTGCGCCTTGATTCGCTGATTGGGGGAGGTAATGTCATTATAGGTCTGTAATGGATTTCCATTGGTAACGTCTCTTTCAGGTAGGAAAAGCGATGTCATCAAGTGAGCCAGTGGCGTATGAAATTATGCGAGAACTGGATGTTGATTATGTCCTAGTGATTTTCGGCGGAGTAATAGGTTATTCCGGAGACGATATTAATAAGTTCTTGTGGATGGTTCGAATTGCTGAAGGAGAACATCCGAAGGAGATTAAGGTGATAGATATCTGGAACGTCCACCTCATCTTGCAACCGTCAATTCCTTTTATTCTAGGAATCCAACTATTTCACGGAATCGGGTGAGTACAGCGTAGGAGCCCAGGCATCGGAGACAATGCTGAATTGTTTGATGTACAAAATGTCATACTATCGCTTCGCTGATGTACGTATGGGATACAACCAGGACGGATTCGATCGAACCCGTGGATATGTGATTGGGAAGAAGGTTGGAGTTCTTTCCCATTAGAAATTTCTTTTTTAATTTTATTTACTCTTCAGGATATCACATTGGAGTACATTGAAGAAGCGTTCACATCAGAAAACTGGCTAGTACGTATCTACAAAGTGAAAGATCCGGAAAATCGACCTGTTATCAAGAAGAGTGAGAGACAAATCATCGTGGATACTAAAAAGGTTACCAAGGTAGAATGTTCTCGACATTTCTGATTTTAATTGTTCCCTATTATTAAGTTTCCCCACTTGGGGGTTCACCATGAATTCTTGCGTAGTCTTGCCATTTGCTGCTTCTTTTCTTCACAGAGTGCTCTGAATGTCGCTGTCCTCAAAGTCAGGAATACAGCACCACGTTGTGGGAATTTTTCATACGATCCTCTAGTGATAGTCTCCCTCTCCCATCTTAAATTCCCTCTCGCTGACCCCGTCCCAAAATATCGCCGTAGATCAGGGGGGAGTGATGTTGGCACTTTGATCAAGAACCACAAATAGCATTGCGCGCCGCGGGTTACAAACCGCGAGTAAAATTGGGAAAAATCAACCTATTAGCCGTTTATGTTCAGACTTTCATTATAATACGAAAATAATTGATGATCTGCTGTTCAGGGCAAGAATAAGCGTGGAGTGTTCCGCAACAAACCGGAGGTGAAGAAGGGTGTGAAGATGGAAATGTAGTTCATCGGTGGGCCTACGAAGAAGGTTTTCGGTTTAATAATGGTTGTTGTTGTTACTGGGTATTCCAGAATATATAGGGATTGTTCCTAGTATTTCTGATGAATTCACGGTAAAAGAAAATTCATGTTAATCTGGTCCGTTCTCTGTTGTCAAATGTGGTTTTGAAGCTTTGGAAATTTTTTCTTGCAATTTCTGGGCCTATTTATGCGTGTACGATATTAATTTATTATTAAAGTAATAGATTTGTTCGTTGATTTAGGTTGTTTATTTTATGCGGTAAAGTATATAAACATATCGTTTTCTTGTGATTGTGAGGGAAGTTGTTGACCTTGACGTGCCATTGACAAGGGTCAAATTACTGCGAAACTTCGATACGTCAGGCCACTTGCTCCCAATCGCTTTTGGATTTGTGGATCTGTAATGTGTGGAACACATGGCATATCAGAGGCAGAACACCCGCTGCTTCCCCGAACCCACCTCTAATACTATTGCGAATCCTCCTCTTAGCCTGGCTGAAGTCGTTGAAGATCGCCCTCACAATCAAACTGCGGCGTAGCTCTTTAGGCATCGAAAGAGAGTTAGGTCATCCACATTCAAACACGTGCCGCGATCTTATATGTTGAAGTAACTCAAAGAGGCGGAATTAGATAAAAAAGTAATTTTTCAGCCTTAGATCAAATAAATCCTTTTACCAATGACCCGCTCCCAGTGCCCCGAAAGCCTTTGGACCAGATGCCTACCTTTCCAATTGTTGCAACAAGTGATGGTAAGCTGCTGAAATGATTGCCAGTGCAGATACAAAAGCATTGAGGTAGCGTTTGCCGTCAGAGAGTACCCTCGACTAACCAGATCAGTTGGAATCGAACGCTTTATGTTGAGCGAATGGGGCGGATTGAACCCAGGTCTCAGTATTGTTTGTGTCCAGCCTGCCCCTACAGTAAGTTACTCGGGGGTCTGCCGCACATATGAGGAAGCACGGTGGCTCTTTAGTTGGTGTTGGTATCATACCACCCCCCCTTTAGCACTATGATTTGTCGACTGATTGTCGAGGAACAGGCAATATACACCGACAGCGACGATTTTATTCTCTGTATAGAGCCGCCTGAAAGCCACAGTGTGGGAATCCTTCGCTATGATGATCATCCACTTGGCGTCACGTACCCATCCTGGTTAAAACTCGGGCGGGCTTCTCATCTCTGCATTCATGCAAATTGACGCGTTGTTGAGTTCTTGTGGGAGCGTCCAAGGGACCACCCATATTGCAGTCTGAGGTCCGGCCGGGGTGCGTTTTCACAGTTGTGAGTGACATCTCATGCTGAGAACATTACTGCTAGAGGTATAGAATCGGTACTGCGTTCGTGCTTCTATAAGAAAATTAGGTACCCATGCCCCTTGACCATCCTCAGTTTATCGGTCATAACACGTACAGTAATTGCAGCAGGGATGTCAGTCTCGCGGGGAAACTCGACAAAGGTCCAGGCTCTGTGATCAGTGCCTGACTTCATCCACCCGTTTTTCTTGTGCAGGATGAATATTATGGGACCATCCACGACAACAAATTTTTTCCTTTCTTCCTTGTACGGGCTCCTGAACCAAATCTTCCACCGTGTATTTCGAGAACACCCTTACACACAACTATGGTCCGGCGCAGGTCAAATTTGAGCAGCGCACTTTCCTCTTATGACGTCTGATTTGAAAAACCGGCGCCGATTTTCACCACTCGGGCTTCTTTTCAATTTCTCGAGAACTTCTTCTGGGGCTAGGTTCGCCAAATTTCACAGATACACAGCTTAAGGTACTAGCTTCCAAATGGTATAGTAGCCCGCTGCTCTATCCCCTTTGCTTTTCTGCCATTCCTCTATATGTAGCGGCACGTTTGAATGGGATGACCTAATAAATGTTGAAAAAGCGAACGAACCTAGAAACCGAAGTGGGCCCGGAAATGTGTTTTCCCTCGAGGATTTTCACACCTGCTCTCCTTACTGCGCCGCTCTACAATCCAGAAACGCTACCCAATCCTTAGTACGAGTAAGGCCCCCGTTGCACTCCACCGTTAATGACTTCTCACCTCAATGTGTGGAAAGGCGATAATAGTCGCCTTAAAAATGGTCCTGCCTTGATACTCTGCTTCAGCAGTAGCGCTTCTTCTACATACCGGCCGTTCTGAGCAGTCTAGCTGGGTTCAAGTTTTATTTTGCTTCAATTACATTCAAGGAACTAGGGTCTATGGGCAAAAGGGGCAAGCATATGCTTGGTATGGTTCACTGGGTCGCAATTCGCGCATTTGAGTCAGATTTTCTATTCCCTTGAGGTCAGTCTGTCACTATCACACCCAAGGTACGCCCTGGAAACTCATTAGAAGCAATAGGCTTGAGTAGAGCCAAACCACTCACCTCCAAAAAAGTGCGGATAGCTGCCAGACAACAATGAGATTACCACTTTGGGCACCCGCTACTGTTTTTCCAAATTTTGAACGTGCATGTTCTTCCCTTGTAGTAATCAATAGCTGTTCTGAGTAGAACCGTGACGGCCATCGATGCCGCCAAGGATCGATTCGGGCGATTTTATTACCGTCTTAGTACCTGACCGCAACATCTCTAAATTGTCCCCTCCTGCGCTAGTTCTCATTGATCGCCACTGTTCTTGATAATCAGTCATTTTCTTATCTTCAAGTCATTACTGAGCCGATGAAGCGCTAAGTTCCAGCGCTACATTACATCGAATCGTACAGCAGTATGTAAATTAAAAGGGAATGTAATGGAATGGGAGGAGTGGTTTGTGACGAGGAAGAAGGCTCTGTGGGATGAGGACACGCCATTGAACTAGGCGAATTTTCCTGTTTACGTAACCCCTCCCAAGTTCCCAACTTCAATTGGGGTGGTGAAGCCAGCAGTTCCTATGGAGAAATACAAATTGCGTGCTGATCAAGAAGTTTATAGGCCCCTGAGTGGGGGAAGTTCAGCAATGCAAACGGATACTCTTTAGACCATATAAGATTCCCATTTCTTCCCAACTGAATATCGCCACCCTCCTTCCATGAATTTCTGAAGGAACGACATGTCCTGTATGGGATGGCGTCAAGACGTACCACCACGGGGGAAATTTGCAAATACGCACGTATGCGTCTGAAAAATTGCTCGCTTTATAATGGCCTCCTTCCCATTCCCTTCCTACCTATCATCGGCCACACTTTTCTCATTTCGCTTTTCCCGGAGTTCTTTCCAGAAAACTCTTCCACTTTTTACTGAGAAGCAGACGTCGGACGTGCAGTGCAGACGGTGTATAGCCCACTGAAATAGGAAAGACCGAAAAAAGTGTCAAACAATCAAAAACAGTTCTCCCTCAACTGCAACTACGACCTCTCCACTGGGGTTCGTTGGAAAAATCCCGCACTTACGCATGCCCTGATGATAGTAGTTGATCTCCTCAATCTTGACGAATCGAGCATTGTTCAGAGTTAGTTATGTATCGTCTTCTGATCACTGGACTCAAGGAGATCGTTCAAATCACTGATCAGCGTGATGTTGAATTTCTCAAAGGGGCCGACATGTCCCACATAAAGGTAAGGTAAACTACTTACGGAGTACTTCTGTCTCACAGACGTTTCTATAGACTCAGGTATCAGCGATCTGAAATCATTAGGCGTGCTGGGTCGGTCTGGAATGGAAAACTTGCAGCTGTGGGTAAAGTATGAGCAGGTAAGCCGTGTTTCTCACAGACGCTGGGCGGGGTTGGCACGCCGCCCGTTCTCGCACCCATTGTTGAGGCGAGAGAAGCGACAACAGTTGGTGAAACAGGGGGTTCCGCCCGCTGCCAAACAGCCCTCCTGAACGCCTCTATCTTGCAAACGAGAACGTCCTATAGCGCCGTCTCCTGCATTTAATGGTGCAGCAATTAAAGATCTGCCTGATCGGTTGATTTTTCCGATTTTAGATTTTCCAGGTCCTTAAAGTGCAAAATGAGCAACCAGTGGAACGTTCACTGCACACGAATGGAGGTAATTTCTCAAGGATAACGTCCTGATTGAGATAATATCAATATGATCTATCATAGGCTTACGAGGGGCTGAATCTAGAAACATATTGTAATGTTCTTTCGGCACTATTTACCCTTTACTGCTCCAATCTTCCGAAAACAGGCCTGATTATGACCGACTGTTTTCTGCCTTGGCCAGAATTAGCCTGCAAGATTTCTGTAACCCTGGCGAGTTGAGCTTCTTCCCCCCTGAACCTGAAGGTATCACCCATCCGCTCATGCACGAAACCTCCTGGCGGCCCGCGCACACAGGCGGCGGCGCCAAAATACCATCAAACCTACCAATTCGCCTGGCAAACTTGATCTCAGGGCGGCCCTATCTGACTTCCTGAACACGAATATCACATCCGCTCAGCCTGAAACCTTCTGACTCCCGCGCTATAGGTGCTGGCACCAAAATACCCCAGATCACCGCGCGCGTGTAGCGCGGCGCCAAGAGGTTTCGGGCTAAGCGGAATGATCATGAATCGTATTCAGAGGTGAAATACGCTCAGGGGACAAACATTTGGAGCCAAATCTGCCACGGAGAAACAACAGTGCGTGTCAGAACATGGCTAAATTCTGGATGGTGAGGCAGTAAGGGTAAATAGTGCCAGTTCTTCTTCGTTATGCGGATGAATTGTGCAGGTATTCTGCTGCCCGGTTTCGTAGACGGCCACTCACATCCTGTGTTTGCCGGCGATCGAGTGCATGAATTCGCCATGAAACTAGCTGGAGCTACTTATATGGAGGTCAGACAATCTCTATATAATGCTGTCGCTTGAGCGCTCTAGGCATGAGTTTGCGGAAGCGTTTATAAGCTTGGAAAATCGTTTAGGCTCTTGCTGCAAAGCTACAGTCTTGTTCGCTGCGGATGCTCGGGCGTATCAGGGGGGGGGGGGTCTGCAGTTAGTGCGGCACTAGCCCGTTTTCCACCAATTGTGTTCGCTCGTCAGCTTTCGAAATTAGTGGAGAACGGGCTGGCG